GGCGAAAAATATGCCCTTATAACTGTCCTTTTAGTCCCACAGGTGAGGGGTGTATGGGAGCTTCGATGTGGTCATACCAATCAACATTGTCAAAAATAAACTGTTTAAAACGATCATCTGCGCGAAGTGTTTCGCATCCTAAGCAGAATGGACAGAATCCTGGTTTTACAGGAGCATTGCGGTGAATCACTCGATCACACCGAATGAGGTCTTCAGGGTTGTTGATATGTTCTTGGCAATGTTTAATATACTCCTCTTCGACCAGAAACCAGATATCACATTCGAAACACAGCTTGGCAAACCCGTGGGGGCTCTGCCTCTTGTGGTATAAGCAATAACAATCGTGTAGATGTTGCCACACCCGGTGAGGATGTTTTCTGTATGAAACAATTGAATTAGCCTTGACACGGATACAGCTGATTAAATCCACCCACCTATTCATCTCTTCACCACATATGCATTTTCCATCAACAGGCTGAAAACTTGAGCGATATGCAATGTCAGTATTTTGGTTACAGAGTGCTTCCATTGCGCGAAGCGCCATCCGGCCTTCCGGACTTCGTAACTCCACTTTCATGGGCAGTATCTGGGCCAAGGCGTCGCGTTCTGGCATAACTCGTCGCGCATAGCCGAAAAATGTTTGCTCAAACACATTTGGTTTGATGGTCAGCCCGGCCCCGGGCTTTCGGCTTTGAGAATCCTGGAACTTCTGCAACGCCTTCTTGTAGAGCTGATTCTTTTTGTAACAGAGCCTGCGGTGTTTTCTGGAAAGAACCTCATGTTGCTCAGTGCCCTCAGCCTTCCTGATTTGAGCAGCACACTCATCAATCGCTTCATCAAGCTGGATCACGTCGCGTTGTGCTTGAAATTCGACTTCTTCCTTGGATGGTAGTGACTGCCACAAACCTGGTTTTCTGTGAATCGCCATCGACCGACGGTTATCGACGTGCTCGCTACGGCGATCGATATTAAGGAATGTGGCCGGTCCATCGATCTCACTTAGAGGGTGCGCGTAGTGTCTTCCAAACATGTCCCGTGAAATCTGTCCTGCGAATTTCATTCGTGCGGTTTCAGAGTAGTGATTGTCTGCATGATGCTGTCAGTCAGGGCTCACTGCTTGCGTTATTTTTAGTGAATTTATTACCAGCTTTCATAAGAGCCCATCTCCTGCAACCACGGGGAGTCAAATTTTTAGTATAACCACTTCGACGGCCAAGGGCGGCAAAGGATTTACCGAACGAATCAGCACACCTTGACTTGCCAGTTGAGTCCTGAATACGTAGCTCATTGAACGGCCGGAAGACTGGTACATCTGCCAGAGCATCTGTAAAATGAATCTGGTGAACATCTCCGTCATTTATCGCATCCGTCCTGTCGAGATGCTCCATGTCATCCACCAGTTCATCCACTGACCGATAGTCGCGGAAGGCGTTGTCCCCAGATAGCATGGGCAGAAAGTAAACAAGGAGATTGAACATAAGCGGCAACCTTTCCTTGTAGATCTCATAGAAAACATGGAGGGGAAGTTGCCACTTTTTCCTGAAGTAGTAATCTTTGACATATTCTCTTTGATACGTGAGCACAAGCATTGTTTTACCGTCGACTCTTTCGATGGTCAGGATAAAATGCTGCTGATTTGTTAGTCATTATCAGAGTGGCTATCTAGAGTGTCACTGACCTTGTAACAAGCCGCGAGTGCCTTTGCAGCCATGTCCTCGCCATTTAAATCAGTGTCAGATTGTCCTTTGCGAGTTCTAGCCCGTCTTGCTGTTGATTCATGGACTTCGCCCGTCCTTGCCGATGTGTAACAGTACATAAGGATTGCAGCAGCTTCGGCAACCCTACTTCGGTCTCTTGATTTCCCCCGATACTCATGATAATCCTTACACCACAATTGTGTTAGAACAACACCAATTTCATTGGGTGAAACACAATTCTTGTCCATCTCAACAAATTGTAAACTGAGCCTTTCCCGAAGCGGCCCACGGATGAACTAGAATAGCTTGTTAGAAAATTATTATCAGGGTGGTTTGAGACTATAGACTATATCCAGACCTCGCACATTGTGCTGGTAACAGTTTTTGGGAAGGTGTATTTCCGTTCACGCTGCCATGCCGTCTGGAAATCCCTGCGCCACCCATCTACTGTATCGGGGATAGGTTTGTCAAATATTCGACCTTTAATACCTCTTGCCACAAACTCCAGAAAGGCCTTGAAGCTCCGTATGTCAGGCGGGGAGGTGGCCCAGGGATGTAGCTCACGGAACCTATGTTCTCCCTGTGAGTAAAATGCAGACGGGGATAAAGTCGCTTTGTGGGAGGCACACCTGTCGTAGACAGCAAGTGTCTTTTTATATTTTTGTTCAGTGCTGCTGACAACAGCTTTCACGATTTCCTCGTTGTCATATTCGTCGATACCAATGGAAATGTTATTGAACGCATCAAGAGATCGCTCCATCTTGAATAAGGCGTCTTGGGTGGATGGAGAAACCCACGCAACGCCCAATCGACACCGTGATGGCAACCCCCATTTTATAACTATTCTGCCTGCGTTCGGCACAAATTTCCATTAATGATTTGAAAATATTTCACGGTGTGCTCACCTCTTGCACCTGCACAGACTGGTTGTGCAGGTGGTATTCCAGGAGGTCACTGGAATATCACGTGAACATCACTCGAATAGAGCGGCCGGACATGCTAGCTTGATCTAACCACTGTGTGTGAGCAAGGCCATAGTTCGACTGTTGTATGTTTTTTTTTGCCAGTTCGGTTGCCTTCGGATTGACAAGTTAATAATTACTCTCGGAATAACTATCCGTCAATCACTTACCAGCCCTAAACTAATAACAAAGATGAAAAATGGAGCAGCGGGCAGAGCTGAAGCGCAATGGTGGCTAATCATTTACGCAAACCGTATATAATGTTGCTATCCACCTAGATGTCTAAACCCTTTTTATCTCACTTCCTATCCGTCAAGTTATAAATCTTCTGGATCCCCGCTAATACCTCCTCAAAATCAATTTTCAGGTCCGTCAACAGGCCATCTTTAAAATCAAACACCCAGCCATGCACAATGGGATACGAATTTTCGGAAAAGCTCTTCTGCACGGCTGCCGTCTTAATGATGTTCCGGCACTGCTCAATTACATTCAGCTCTACAAGCCTATCACAGCGCTTGCTGTCTTCAATTGCATCCAGCTCTGCCTCGTGGAGCCTGTAGACGTCACGGATATTTCGCAGCCAGGGGTTTAGCAGACCCAAATCTGCCGGCCTCAAAGCGGCTTTGACACCGCCGCATCCATAATGTCCGCAGACAATGATATGTTTGACGTGCAGATGGCGCACCGCATAGTTGATCACGCTCATCACGTTCAGATCCGTATTGCAGACCAAATTGGCAATATTGCGGTGGATGAAAGCTTCACCGGGGCCCAAGCCTGTGATTTGCTCGGCAGGGATGCGGCTGTCGCTGCAACCGATCCATAGGTAGTCTGGATTCTGGCCAGTCTGGAGCTTCTCGAAGAAATGCGGGTCCTTCGCGGCCTTTTCCGCTGCCCATTTCTTGTTGTTCTCGAAGATGCGTTCGTGAGATTGCTTGAGATACTTGGAGACCTCGGTAGGCGCCATGAAGTTTATTGTCCGGTGGGTTGCACAGGGGTGAGTGAGAAACGAATTAGGTTTACCAAAATGAAGGTACCGGCGCCAGCGAAGGTTGGGGTTGAGAATGGTTCGTGTACTTGTGGGGGGGAATGCACAATGGACCCGAAGACCTGATAACTTGGATAAATGGCGCCGCTGAAACATTTATTTGAGGAGGATGAAGGGCTGAGTGAATTATGCCTCGAAAAATTGGCATTCGTAGAAGTGAGGGGAAAAGGCAAAAGAGAAAACAGAGCGTTTTTGATTTTTTATGTTGGTTGGGCCGTCGAAAATGGCAAAGCGCGGCACATGATCTAGCGCTGGTGATTGATTGTCATCATAACCACATAAAACGGTGGAGGTGGAGAAAGGAAAGCAAGACGAGTGCTTGATTTGATTACGATAACTATCGGAATTCCTTTTGCATAGGGAATAGAAGTTAGAAGTTTGATTTCTATATGCCTATTTCTCATCAGTTCGACTGGAGCCTAGGAATATCAATTAGCGCTAGGTAAGACTTGCTCCCTGAGAAATATTGTATTACTAGTATACTAACTAGTATTTAACCTCTTTTCTCTCAATTTGTCTCCCTCAAGTTTTTATTTCTGTTGCCGGTAGGTTAAGCCGTGTATCAATGGTCGGAGAATGCAGACGCTCATCGACGTATTGCTGCCGCCGCCACCAGTGCATCAAGTGCGGCGCTTTGGGTCGATGCAAGCGCAGGGCCCGCAAATGGCCCAACCCAGTTCACGCCAAACTGGTCCTTTTCGTTTTTAGCATTCTGCCAAATTGACCGTGCGTTCTCTTCGATAAATATTTGGTACTCTACTCTTGGGGCGACTTTGTGCAATATTTGAAGATTTCGCATGAAAATTCCCTTGAATTGGGGACCGTCAGCACCGCAGTCCGGTTCACAAGGGTCGTATAAGATGCCTTTCTCATCCGCTAAGGTGTTGATTGCTGCAAAGGCAATGGTGTGTGCTTGAGCAATGAAGGAGTAGTCGGGGATAGGGGAAGCCCTGGAGAGCTCAACCAGCGCACCAAGAATGACTCCTTGGTTATATGACCATACAATCCCACGGTTGTTCTGGCAGGTCTTCAGGTCTATCCCATCATTTACGTTATTCCGTTCATTGATCATGCCAGTCTTCTTGAACCAGTACCATCCCTTTGTTGCCCACCTGTGGTAATGGTTTGCTTTGTGATGGACTCGAGTGGCGAGATGCGCTGCCACGCTCATAAAGAGTTCGTTCGCAATTGCAACCAATGCTGTTTGATTCTTATCCCACCATATACCACCACCGCACCGGCTGTCATCCCACCCACGATTCATGTCCTCAAAGATATCTTCTGCCATGTTCAGATATTTCGGGTCGAAAGGTTAAATCGTAAACCTGGACCCATCCCAATGCCCACCAGCCCTCATCCTTGTAGTAATTATTGATGAAGCCAGGGTTGCCGCGATTCTGTAACTGGCTGCCATCACTTGACGGCTTGAAGGAATTGGTGTCAACCAAACCATTTGGGAGAATTCTTTTGTGGAACTGGAAGTTCGCCTTCTGTGCCTTGGCGAATGTTGTAAGGAGAACAGTGTGCCCGACGGAAGCAGCCTGCTCATCAAAAATCGCAAGATCGGCGATGGTTGTAAGGCAGTTCCCGCCATTCCACCATCCAGTCGTCTCCCACAGCCCAGTTGTTGTATTGTACCACTTTTGTAACGTTTTTAAACCGGCCTCTGCGTGTGATTTATAGTTGGACTTTCCTTGAGCATAAGAAACGAAGAAAAACCAAACTAAGACGAAAGCCTGCAGGACCACCATTATGTTGGATAAAGTGGACGGAAGGAACTGCAACTATATTTCGGTCTCCGGCGATGTATCTTAGTCTTCAAGGACGCAGGTAGTGCTAGCATTTATAAATTGTCTTAGAATGCATACCAGTTAATCGGTTGGCGGATTCCCAGCGCTGTAACGACGCTTTAATCGACATTTCCAGTTGTGGCATTTCAGCGCGATGTGTGCTTGCGGTGGGCCATGATGTAACAATACTCCGCACCACGCACTACTAATGCTCATGTAAAGGGAAGCTTGAAGATCATTCGAAGGATATGATGGCGATCTCTGTAGAGCCGAAATAGCCCAGAGAGAAAAAGAATGCGGGGTTTATCGGAGATATTTTGACTATCAGGGGTTCTAACAGCTGAATGAAGATATCAAATTAAATCAACCGGTGATAATCCTCATTTTCTGGCTCGCTGATTAATTAGTTCTAAATCCATTATTTGTTGGATACATGCAGCCGCATGTTGCAAGTGAAATGTGCTTTGGTAGCCTGATGTTGTTGCCATGAGTCAAAGATGATGTTCCTTCAAAAAATTAGGTTACGGAAGCAATCATCAAGAAGGCCCAGCCAGAGTGGTTCGGTCGATTAGTAGTTCGAAGAAGATACACACAAAGTACTATTTCCTTTTATAATATAATATCGGGAGTGAGATGTATCATGAGAATCCCGGAGACGAAAACTTGGGAAGCAGATGCGGTCAGTCCTCATTCCACATTAACGTGAGTTGCTTGTCTTATTTTTATTAAAATATGCTATTTGCAAGTAGTGAGTGATTAACAAGCTATATACTAGAGCCTGATGGACATATAAAATCTCTATATCCATTCTCTTAATAGCAAACTGGTGTTTATTTAAATACAGTACGCAGTGTACTGTGCTCACTAGTTCCTAGGTTGACTTAACTTGGCTGACTAAACAGGGGCCGCAATTAGTTGGTTAACAAAGTACGGGTTACAGTTGAACGTGGTTAATTAAAAGTTGGATGTGGTTTAAAAAAAGTGGGTCTGAAAAATAAACCAAGCTCAGCTCTCACTTCCTCACTAAAATGCATACACACTAAACATCTTTATACACTCTCATTAAATTATTAATCAACTCTCATTTAGACCTTCTACTTCAACATCTGAGATACTTCAATATCTGAAAAGCAGTTATAAGCTAGAATTAGTGATTAATATTAATTAAGAGATAGAACTTTGAGAAATAAGATAAAATCACTGTGCCCAACACATTTGAAGATGTGTGAGATATATATGAGACATGACTAGTGTATGTAGTTTTAATGGGGGGTTGACATGGTTTATGGTCAAAACCACGCCGAAGGTTATTCCGGCCCGAAAAATTAACCACGTTCAACTTTTTATTAACCACGTTCAACTGTACGCCCAACAAAGTAAACCACGCGAATCTGGTGGTTTCGCGCGATTGCTGTAGCTAATGGGCGGCATCAATTTGAATAGCCCTCACCCCCAACTTCCATTCGCGCCTTCAACAAACAACTCTAACCAATTAATTGATATTCAACTCCTCTCCCATTTGTTCCGCTGATAACTGTATTTTGTCCCATAAAACTCCATCATGTCAGTTTGCTTTCCTACGCTTGCTCGGTCCAGTATCCGTCAACTGACCTCAGAACAGGGAGAGCTTTGAGAACATTTACCTCGACTTATCGAAACATCCAGGCAAATGTAAGCTTGCAGAGAGCGGCCTTGGTTGGCGACCATCGGGAGGCGGTGACACGTTCACTCTTGATAGCAGCAACATTGGCGCAGCGCAATGGAGTCGGGCTGCCAAGGGTTATGAGCTGAAGATTCTGTCCCCGTTCTTCGGGAGTCATCCAACTTGACGGATTTGAACAAGAGGTACTTAATCAAACTGTGTGACCTACCATCTTTGTTTTTTTTGTGAGACTAAATTTACGTGCTCCCCTAGGATTTTGAACGAACGAGCAAGGCCTTTTAAGATCTGGTATGGCATCAACCTCGAAAACCGTGAACATGCACTTCGAGGATGGAACTGGGGAAAAGCCGAATTCACAAAAGCAGAACTCGCATTCAATGTCCAGAACCGGCCGGCATTCGAAATCCCTTACTCAGAAATCTCAAATACAAACCTTGCGGGCAAGAACGAGGTTGCGGTCGAGTTTTCGCTTCCTGCCGATGGGGTTTCCGGAACCAATGGACAGTCAGAGGGCAGCACTAAAAACAGAGGCAGGAAAGCAGGTGCTGGTCGTGATGAACTGGTAGAGATGAGATTTTACATTCCCGGCACAGCTCTGAAGAAGGAGAAGCCGGAGGGAGAAGAGGACGAAAATGGTGTTGACGGTGAAGAAGCTGAGGAACAAAATGCAGCAAACTTGTTTTATGAGACTCTAATGGATAAAGCCGAGATTGGAGATGTCGCTGGTGATACTTTTGCTACCTTCCTAGATGTGCTACATCTTACACCAAGGTCAGAATATCCACCCCTCATCACTCGCCTGTGGGAATCTTTTTACTGACATCCTCTCAGAGGTCGATTCGACATTGACATGTATGAAAGCTCTTTCAGATTACGTGGCAAAACATACGACTATAAAATCCAGTACCAGTCGATCAAGAAGTTCTTCCTCTTACCGAAGAACGATGATACCCATACGCTGATTACCCTCGGCTTGGATCCTCCACTCCGACAGGGCCAAACGCGATATCCATTCCTAGTTATGCAGTTGAAACTTGATGACGAGATTAGCATCGACCTGAATATGACTGAGTATGCTGCTTTCGTTGCTATAGTAATCATTCGCCTTTGCTAATAAAATTTTATCAGTGAATTACTTCAAACCCGCTACAAAGACAAGTTAGAGGCCCATTATGAAGAACCCATTCATCAGGTCGTAACGAAAGTATTTCGCGGTCTTTCCGGGAAAAAGGTCGTGATGCCTTCCAGGGATTTCGTCAGGTCAGCAACCGGTTTATCTCAGTCCCTTTCTGAATATCGCAATAAAAACTCAGGCCCACATTCCGATAATATTCAATCACCCAATGGACGTCTTAGATCACAAATAACTGACCCTCAATATAGTCACCATGGACATTCTGGCGTCAAATGCTCTATCAAAGCAAACGAAGGCCTTCTGTTCTGTTTAGACAAAAGTTTCATGTTTGTTCCCAAACCCGCGACGTACGTGCAAATCGAGAATATATCCGTGATCACCATGTCTCGTGTCGGCGGTGCCATATCTGCTAGCAGAACATTCGATATCACGATGACGCTTAAAGGGGGGATGGGAGAACATCAGTTCAGCAACATAAATCGGTATAAGCATTCCACAACTCAAGCTCCCGTTTTTGGTAAATTGATTAAGGGATTATGTTAACGATGACGTAGTGAGGAACAACAACCGTTAGAAGAATTTTTCAAGGCGAAGAATATAAGATTTAAGAACGAGATGGCCGATGATGTCAGCTAAACCCCGCTCTAATTTCCCTGACTTCTGTATTATACACGGCATACTAACAGTTCATTACAGTCATCTGCGCTTATTGCTGCAGCTCTGGATAACGACGAAGGCTCCAGTGATGAAGATGTGGCCGTCGGCAATGATCGTGGTTCCGCCGACGAAGACGAAGAATCTGTAGATGAAGACTTCCAAGCAGAGTCCGAATCCGATGTTGCGGAAGAATATGACTCTGCGCATGAAAGCAGTGGCAGCGGAAGTGATGTTGACATGGATGATGTGGATGATAGTAAGGACGCTGCGGCTGATGACGATGAAGACGAAAGACCAAAGAAGAAGACCAAGGTCGCGAAATGATGGGGAAAGTTTTTACTTTTCAGTAACATTCTTTTATAGGGAAAATTATTTTATTGAACCATCATCATCTTCATCATGTCCTCTTAACAATAATCTCATCGGCGTTATTGACCTTCGTAAGTGTTTACCTTCGGGGTTTTACTGCTTCTTGTTGTTTGTTCCTCCCTTGGGGAATTTGAGGTGGGAAATTTCTTTATTCCGTTAAAATTTTTCAAAGTGAACTCTGTGAGCCTGCTCCTTCAACTTCTCCTGATGATTCCATGTTTACTATCTTATACCAAAACAACGCAACCACTACCCTTATGATCCCTTGGGGTATGTCGCGTGGCCGCCTTAATATCGTCTTAGTATCCCCATAATTTAGTGATTTCCCTCTTCCTTCCCCTGAACGCAATGCTATTTGCATGCATCTTCTGATCGTGAAAAATTGTTCTCAGCCACAGTGATTGTGGCGCAGGACATAGCACAGCCCTCAGCGTGAAGATGTCCCTGCGAGTTGAAATAATTTTTCTCTTTCCGTTCCTCACTCTGATTACCACGTGTTAAGCGTCGACAGGCATGGCGACTTGGATTAAATGTATTCTCAAATCCATTGCGGAACCATATCAGCATGATGTATGTGGTAGGTCTCTTGCCTGTAGTTGTACCAGTGGCGCATGCGAGCGATACCTCCCCCATAAGCATGGGGCGAAAACTCGCAGGGAACGGGGAAAGAAGTTCCCTTTTTTCCGCCCGAAGCCATCCGTTATAAACCGCGGGAATAGCGAGTTCTAGGCTAGAAAATAAGAGATCCCAGCAATATTGTGATAGTAGGGCTGCCTGCGCGATGAATGCAGATGGGTTTAAGAAAGCCAACCTCCAAGCGGCATGAATACACGAGCATGGAGTCAATGCAAAATGCTCATTGTAGATACTGTAGAATAATTGGAGATGATCTAGATCTTATCTTTATTAGTAGTGAATAAAACTAACGCCTGTTCATCACACGGGTCATAAATCTCGTGTGCTTGTCCATGGTATCCTTGCCTATTTTTTATATATCCATGAACGGAGTGCAGAAAGGAGGGATGTATCGCCATGGAACTCTATCCGTACTTTCCCCCTGCCGGCTATTTAAGCTTCCTGGGACGCCCCGCTATCGATTGACCGTTTGAATGGACGAGAACAAAAGTGTCAGGGAGTTGGGAGGGTGGTGTGAAAGAGCAGGGGCCAATCCTGGACTGTGACAGGACGGAGGGTGAACCCTTCGCTTGGTGCCATTTTGGTAACGTGACTTCGTGGTGGTGTAGACCCTTGGAGGAGAAAACAGTTGTAGTACCATCAGCGGAAACTCCCAGTTTCTTTGACGCTTCAAAAAATCGGCCAATCTTCGGGAGATTGTATATGTCACATTTTGGATTTCAGTAATCAGTATTGGGCAGTAAGAAATGAGGTACAACCATAAAAAGTAAAGAATATTTCATTTCGTCTTCAAAGGCTGCAGTCATAAACTCATTTCCCACCCTCTTCACTGCTATACGTTGTTTACAGCGTAGAATAATAGCGAGGATATCATATTGAACCATTCACACATTGTTGACATGAAGGTTAACGTCGCCCTAGGCTAATAGCTAGCCTGATTAATGGCAACAGTAGGGGTTAGCTCGATGCCATGTGAGTTATATTTCAGTGCACGCTTGATCTCATAGTCGTCTTCTCGTCATCTTGAGCCGAGTCAGAAAAGCAGTTCTATAATTCTGGACGGATTTGCTCGCTGCATCGCAGCCAGATGGCGTAGAAGGTTGTGCTCAGGTGAGACGAGAGGTATCGAAGAACGGGCACCGACGTCTTTGATACTTTGTGTGTCGGTTAGCTCCTGTTCCCTTTTGGCATTTTATCACGTGACGGTATATACCAACTGGTTCCATTTTAGGTTAGCTGTTCCTTACCTTGACGCGAAGAACTCAGGAGATTTTCGAGAGTCAACCGCGACAATTTTATTGAAGGTCATTTGTTTCAGCTCAACCTCTTCTCATATTTCTGTATTTTTCCATATCTTCATATTTTGTTTACACTCGTATGTTGCCATGCGATTCAACGCCTCTTGAATCCTCTCAAAATTTCCTCGATCCCAACTCTCTACGGAAGCCTTCTTTTTCTGGCGAGTAATCTTGAACCTCGGAGTATATTTCGAAGCTACGATCAGGGTTTCGCCTACCATACTACATACAAAGACGCCTTCCTTTACCTTGACCTTTCACATTATTCACAATGGCAGTGGAGTACGCCAAAAAGACAAACGCGGAACTTATTGAGATCCTCAAGTCTCGCTCGCTACCACACACTGGGAAAAAGGCCGACCTAGTCGCCCGACTCCAGGAAGCGGATAAATCTGACGCCAATAAAGCTGCCGCGGCGGCCGCGAAATCAACTGCAGTTGAAGATGTCATCGATTGGGATGATGATGCGCCGCTTGCTGAACCCGCTGTACCCACGAAACCAAGCACTAGCACAGCAACTGCCGCTCCTATAAAACAGGTCCCCAATCCCATTGCGGTACCCAGCCAGAAGGTAGATATCGATCCCTCCACCACTCATGATCTCAAAGTTGTGAGAGGCGAAAGCAAGGCAGGGACAGCTAGCACTGCGGCTCCCGGAAATAAGGTTACCCCATCAGAGCAAATTAACGGCACCGACGTGAAACCAGAAGAGAAACCAGCAGTCGATTATAGCATAGGTCTATCAGCTACCGACCTGGAAGCTGAGCTCGCTAAAAGGAAAGCACGGGCAGAGAAGTTCGGGATCGTGGAAGATTCATCAACCGCACTGGAGCAAGCTAAGAAAGCTATTGAAAGGGCGAAGCGGTTTGGCACAGTTACGGAAGATGCAGCAATTGTCAAGGGTTTGGATGAGGCGCTCCCGGAACGCACAAAGAAGCGGGGGCGTGGAAATGACGCGGGCGGAAATAGCCGCGGTGGGAAACGTCGCGACTTTAGAAGGGATAAAGGTCGCCCGGGGAAATTAGGAGGACACCGAGCATCGGGTACGCGACAAGGCAAGGGGGGGAACAGCAGTTCCTGGAGTGAACAAGATCGTATTGCCATAGAAAAGAGGAAAAATCGGTTTGGTTAAAGTTTCGGTAATAGCCTGCTGAAATTGCCTTGTTTCCATTTTCTTTCCTTAGCTCTGCTGTTTTTTTATTATTCACAGATTATCCTTTCCTTGTCAAAATTCAGTCATTTAAATATTTTATTTGTTGATTTCTTTGTAATCTGGTTTGGGAGTTTACCGGCATCGGATTTCTGTTGTTCTTAGGTTTTCTTTAAATAATGCATTGCTAGTCAAATATAATTTTTTTTTCCCCCGTTACTTTTATCCCAGTTGTTCCGGGCACTCTCAGTGACTGGGTTCTTACGCATTTTCATCAAATGCCCATTCGTCGGAGGAGGAGATTCTAGAAAACTGATGAAAAGAAAGTTATCATTATGCTCCAAAAGGGGCCACAGCCCAGGTGGAAGACACATGACTCCACATATTCGACCACAATAAAAAGAATCACTTCAAACACACAAAATGACCGATTCAGTTGCTCTTCTGCTGCTTGCGACCGTATTTCCTTCGTCTCTCATCAGGCCATGCCTCATAATGCGAGTTTTGTTGTGGAGTAAACATTGTAGAGGCTATATTAAGAGACACCACTAAAAATCATAGCATGAAAGTCAGCCTTGTGAAGGAGAAAAATGCAAATCAGCCCCATGAATTCGATGCGTACTTCGTAAGACCGTAATTAGATTGCATAAGGTCCATTTTTCCAACCAGTGGACTTTCACCATTATATTTAAAATATATGTGTGGGCCTTCGCATCTAAGCGCCGAGTGGACAGGCTTTGACTTGGCGCAGTTGCTGTGATGGGAGTAACGATGTCCCTACACAGCTGAATCACAGAGGTTGCAGGATAACCACAGGGCTGCCCTTGCAGGACAAGGGACGAAACTTGGGTCCTGTACTCCGTACATTGGTCAACTTCGACTCCTTCTCGCTTCTCGCCATCATTGTCGAAGAGAAAAGGCATTATTTGGGCCATCTGACGAGCTAATGAAGAAGACTTTCAAATGGTCACAGGATTGCAGCAAACAGGGCTGTTTTCGCCTGTAACAAGGGGCGCTGATCAAGAAAATATGGTATGCTGTCACCACCCCGGATTAACCACTAATCAGACTGAGCTTCATATGAGGTAAAAGGAGATAGGTATTTTGCGGGTTGGAATGCCCTCAAGGATAGATCATTATTGCCTTCCTTGCTCTTGATGAGTAGGCAACACTGTTTTGTAAGAAGGACCAAAATGGATCCATACAAGAAGAATTCAGGCTTATACTTCGTAGTGGAAAATTTCTCCGAGTTTTGAATTCGGGATAAACTATCTTATCTGCCCTTACTTTTAACGTGATCTATGTGCCTATCACCAAGAAACGTGTTTTTTTGGCAAGGACTAAATATTCAATGTTATTTTTGTCCTTTACAGTCATCGTCTGCCCTTCGCTGCACGACATTAAGGTCAGCATAAGGAGGCGAGAAACTAAAAATATCCGTTACCTATCATGGTTATCTGGGTTGAAGCGATTTGGATGGGTATCGCTTTCCACAATGGCCGAAAGGAAAAGAGAAACGAGCCCTGAATCACTGTGGTAGCGCCTCGCCAGAGTCGCATTCGTATGCCCCGCTACGCTAAATCTTAGGCTCGATAACCCTGTCTGCGAATCACGGCGCCGTTTGGCTTGTCCAGGACACAATTGGCTCTGACAGAACGAAGGGCTCTACGCAGTAAAGACCTTGGACAAAGATTCGACTCTTCGCAGGAGGCTGTCCCACACAATTCGCAAATCATCGCATAACCACAAACTATCAAGCAGATATTGTTGATGATATGTGTATAAACCCCAGCGAGGGAGTGGTTTGGTGACAGATCAAAGAATCTGGTCCATTTTCCTATCCATAGCGATTGTGAGGGGTATATCGATACGACTTGATGGAAGCAGATGGATTGAGGCAGCATGATTTGGGTAATAATTGAAATGGTTTGGATTTCCGTGAATCTGATTGGCATGCTGAAGCTTCAAGAACAATTAGCTGATCGCCCAGTTGGAAGACGGGTTGTTTACGGCACGGCACGTCTGGTAGTTCAAGGAGATCTCACAACGTCTCCTGTCCTGTTTTGAAACCTGATAGGCAGTCTATATTAAAGGATTACTTGATCATGCAAGTAACCTACTTTAGTCTAGGGCGCGGCATAGCGAAGTGACAAACAACGAGCAAATCGAGTCAACCTATGAAGCGGCATTGAACCCCTTGTAGCAGCACCCATACTTTCGACCCGTGACTTTATAAGTCGAAAATGAATGGCTAACCCTCGGAGCGCAAAAAAACATAGGCGTTGAGACTGGCTGAGAGATGCAAGCGGAGTCACGAAATTCCGGCAATCCGTATATTGCGATGGACTTTATGATGGAGACGTTTTCCCGCTGGTAATCCACATGATCCGGCAGCCCTGAGTCGCTTGATACTCTTTTGGAGCAGCACAGCCGATGTCTTCGATTGCTGCGATGCAGTATCTGGAAAATGACTGGCTGGTATAGCTTCTCTACGATTCTAGGGCCTGGAATGAGTTTATTGCTTCTCGCAGCGTGATTGAATCTACTCCTTATTCAAATTATTCGGAGGAGGACAATATGTCGCATTTGACTAGAGCAACTGAAGGGATCCGTGCTGTGTTCTTGTTCGTAGGCCACAAATCCCCTAACGTTCCGCAACATACCCACTGTATCCACTGCGGCACCAACGGGAGCATATCAGAGAGCTGGATTCCCGAAGTCCAGCTTCCTTGCCATCTGCAGATACTCCTCACTCAACCATCGACTTCGCACAGAACTAGAGGTCGATTGGGAGGAGCGACGCCCCGTGACTCGCCACCGCCAATAAGCCCGGCCCTTGAGAAAAGTCTGGTTTTTAGCGGTAAAACCCCAGCAGCCGTCCGTACCGCAACGTTCTCCGAAACTCTCCCTTTACCTCATTGATGGATTTCGGCTATAGTCTTCCCCAGTCACAAAAGGCCCTGTCCCATTACTGAACCTCACAGGCGCCCGACTCTCTGCATCCCTGTCCACTCCGTAACCAAGGAGCCAGGACACAATGGCCCCTCCTTGGACCTTAAAGAGAAGTCGGCGGCACTTCAATGCTCTTCTTTTTCCATTAATCCTCTTTTTTTCGCCCCTGTCTATCTCCAGGTGAAAATTTCACAATTCTCATACTTTTATCACCAATTTTAGCCCTAATCGTTGATCTAGGAACTCGTTCTGCATAATGATGGCACGCATTGACGTGGCCGTCATCTAGTCGTTTGCCTTACCAATTCCCTTGGTCCCTGCCACGTCTATTAGCCACAGCTCACTGCATTAAGGCCCTAACGGACCCGCCGTGTGTGGCGAAGTTGCATATAGGAGGGATTGGTGTACAAGTGTCTCGACGCCGATGATGTTAATATTTCTGATGGTTGTTAAAACATCTATATTATAAGAGAGGCTTGCTCACACATGAGATTTCCATGACATTGACGTTGGTGTTGACGTCTTCCTTCATTAACCGTTGTTTATTCCATTTCCTGTACAATTATTTCTGTGAAGGACATATTACTTCGCCTGCGTGTGGTGTAGGTCACTGTGAAAGATATCACTGCTTCCTCATGATTGCTTGCCATAGAGCAAAACGCAAAGGAATGGAAAAGTCTAGCTCTGCCTGTGAGTCACCCTATTATGGCTGGATTTTCAAAACCTCCGGAGGTAATTGAAGCTCTTCTTTTGACCATGATGCAGATACGATACGGATATCATTTCCGTACAGCTCTCAAGTCCCCATCCGGTATGGTTCCGGGACATTCTAGGCATAGTGAAGTTTTGGAAAGCTGGTGCTCCAACCTGAGGCGAGTATTAGAACTGAGGTCACACTATGCCCTCTCATAGATTTGATCGTGGGCGGATGTTAAGACAGGAGGACGCAGCGGAGTTGTCTCAAGATGGCCACCTATCCAGAATCGCGGGTATACCGAATGGGGGTCAATCTAGTTTAACGACAACTAGATCTGGGGTACAAAGAGCTTTTTTACCTTCTAGAACTAGACGAGGTTCGTTAACCTCGGAAAGCGAGAGTTCGTTTCGAGGAAGGATTCCAACTCCCCCAAATACTAAAATTCCGTCAAAAGAAAACGGACAATCCTTGGGAATTCCGCAGCCTTCGACAGTTGGTTCCATCTTGGCACCTAGCTTAATTCCGCCGATGGGAAAGATGCCCCCCCCTGCCCAGCCTCAATTGAAGCCAGGCCATCCAACCACTGATTCGTGTGGGAAAGCATCTTCGGCAGAAGGGCGATCCCGTAACGTTCTACGAAGAAAAGCTCCTTCAATAGAGCAATACGCGGAGCGTACTAGGGCAGCATCGGATACGTCAAAGCTTGGCTTTTTAGGTTCTAATACCTCCTTGTCAAAGATGGGGGAGGGTGAAAGCCTATTCAGCTCAGAGCCCATTTCAACGGACAGGCCCCACAAAGATCTGAAGAGTCAAACTCGGGATCAAATCCAGCTTCTACAGCCAAATGCTCAACAGCGCTCCAGAGCCGGCGAAAGTCAAATTCCTCGCATCCCGAAGGATATCCCAAAGGAATTGGCCGGACTAGTAAATGCGGTAAACGCAACGGCGCTTCCCCCTCCGACTCCTAATTTCACATCCACTAGCAGCCCTTCCACTAGATATTCTGAATCTCCTGGGCCATGGAGTAGCAGAACGTCCACTCCAACCTCCATGTCTTCGTATTCACCTGGGATCATCCATCCAACAAAGATAGGATCACGTCTAAGGCAACCAAGTCCCGCTCTCTCGAGAAGCCCGCTTCCTAGACAATCTACTGCCCCTGTTCCTTCCACCATTCCTCTCACTTCCACCAAAGATGGAACTCCCCCATACCCAAGAACACCGCGCAAAGCTCAGACACATCCTCCCATAACGGCAAACAAAACTGAAAAAGACGAACGGCAACACGGTGACAAAAAGAAAGCCTCCCAAACTCCTCGCGGCCCTCCACCTCGAAAACCGGCCACCAAATTCAAACCTCCAAAGCCGAAGGAGGACGATTCCACTCAGATGTCAAGTAAAAACTCAGAGATCCGGAAAGAGAAGCAGAGTATCGAGCCAGATCAACGCAAAGCTGAAAATGCTTGTCGGCTACCAGCTCCAACCTCAACCTTTCCACCACCTCGGCCCAGCCGTGAGGGTACAAGTGACCTAGAACTAAAGCCATCCCCCGTGATTCAGAGTAATATGGCATCCCTAAAGCACTCGGGACATAAAAGTCAAGCATCCAGCGAATCTGCTCATGACAAGTTTCATAGAAATTTTACTATCAATTCTTCGACAGAATCGTTCCAGTCTAAAGGCTCGGACCGGATTCATAATCGATATGCTTTTCCCTATCCCGCTGGTAACCAGAGTTCCAAAATTGCTACGGTTACAAAGGACTCGCTGCCTCGTGCAAATACAGTTTTAAGAAAAGGCCCTAAGGAAACTAAAGAGCCTTTGGAGATTAGCGGGATACGGCGGTTTGGGATATTTTCAAGTAAAGGAAAATCGGATACGGATATAGTTGGTCCGGGATGGAAAGATAAACCGAGCCGACGTGGCCCTGCTGCAGGAACCGGCCACGAAGGTTATCAGAGGTACGCCCAGCGGGGGCGCAGATCCAGCATAAGTAGCGCTAATGGAAGAGCAAGATCCACAAGTGCAACTCCTCCATCTAGGAAGGGCAGTTTTGCTAGCCAAACTGAATCGGATTTGGATGACTTCCTGTTAGATCGCCTGGAGCCAGTCATCATTAATGGACGCGGGGTCAATGGAGCAGAGCTCAGTCGAACCCAGAGTGCGGAAAGCGCGAGTGGCGTGAGTGTCACGTCAATTTCAAATTCCTATCCTGGTCCACAATATTCGAAAGCCACCGGGGATTCTTCAGAATCACTGATTCTAGGGACAGGATGTTCCTCCCAGCCAACCGAAACTTTTGATTCTTTACTCCACAGAATCCATCAAAATGAAGAAGACCAGAGCCTAGCCAACCGTCGCTCTTTCCGCAGGTCACAGGTGTTTGAGTCGACGGAAAAAATTACGGTACCACTATCTGCCAATACTGAGCTTCTTAAATCACGTTCATCGATTGACAGTGGCAACACTAGCCAAACATCCTTTTCCCAATCTAGCGTATCTATCACTATGAATGATCACGTTCATGATCCGAAACATTACAAGAAGCCGGAGAAGAAATCAAAGTGGAATTTTTTTCAACGGAGTCACCAAAACTCGCGAAAACGTTCCCTTCCTGAACCGAGTCCGTCTGTCGAAGTGCCAGTTTCCATATCTAAACTTCCTGCGTCCAGGCAGGTAGCTCACTACGCACTCCTCGAAAACGAGTTTATAGATTCGGAGTCACTCAGAGATATTTTCCAGGGGATCGAGGAATCACCCACTAAGGAGGAGGAGGTTGACGAGACTGAAGAAGTGCTCCTTGGGCTTGGATTGAAACGAGAGCATGGTCACTCCGTTCTGCTGCCATCACCCCCGCTTTTAGGAGGATATGACTTCGCAAAACTTCCTTCCTCACCAAAGGTATTTTTCAATAAAAATATCTTCGACGACAATGAAACAAGCGATTCTCCGCCCAAAGCGGATGTTCGGGAACAACGACGACCTAACCGACTTGCATCTGTAGGAAGAATTCCTCTCGTAGTCTCTAGCCGAGACACGGAGAGAAACCAGCCTATCCCTTCATTTTCTCGACCCTTTAGCAAGGCCGATATGCCTTCCTTAACATCCACTGCCAACTCCCAACCTGTACAATTTTATAATCCAGGTCGCCCTCCTGTGGGATCTCAGACCGAAGCTCTCCCTAGTCATGAGTTTTATCTAGAATGTGCAATTTCGGACCCTTCCACCCATAACATTCCAGGCAATAATCGGTCATATGCCCAAAAAAATCACGAATTTTTGGCTTTCCCGCGCAGGAAATCTATAGCTTCTGGCTCTAGTAGTTCAGAAGGCTGCAGGAGCCTAACTGCCGTGACTGCTGTTGCACCACAGCCTGGTTCAAAACTTAACGAAGACGAGATCTGGAACGAATATGATGACTTCATCGATACGGTTTTGTCGCCTAGCGCGGTGCCTAAAGAAATAAGGTCAGACTTTTCCCAACAACGTTTTAAAATGGCCACCCGTGCCGGCAGGGCTCTACAAAGGGAGCAAGGTGGAATAAATAATGATGTCCGTTCTGTTCCCATACCTTCCGAAGATTTGGCCCCACATCGGTCAATGTCCTCCCCAAGATCAAGCAGTAGTTCAGTACGTCTACGCAGATCTATGATAATTTCCGCTCTACATTTGTCAATGTCCGAATCTCCTTCAATGTCTTCCATCAACCGCTCTGGCGGCTTCAGCAATTCGAATACCGCAGAGCTGCTAAATCAAGGTGGTACACTATCCGCCCAACGACCAGATTTGGAATCGGATACGATTAGAGAAGCCTCACTTCCTACAACTAAGAACAGTGAAGCGGATCGGCGCAGAAACACAATACTTCTTGATAGAGCAGAGCGAGATCGCAACGGTGCAGTCGAGCAAATCAACCTCCGGTCCAGCTCCCTCATGACCAGCCGCTGGTTATCGTTTGGACGAGTACTTTTCAGCCCTGCACACAACCATCTTCAAGGTCAAGACCAGGGTCGAGTTCTTGTTATCGACGGCTTAGGAAACGACGATTGGTCATTTTACTGTGCATTAACTTATTCTACCGCAACCGTGTATAGTCTTGGATTCTCAGGGCCCTCCACAATTTCCAGTAATCCCGCCGCCTGGCGGCCCCCTTCCAATCACCGAACTATCCATCACGCGAATATAGAGAATCCATTTCCGTTTCCAAAAGGGTTCTTTACGGCAGCAGTTATTCGATTCCCGGCTACCTGCTCAGAGAGTGGATTACGGGCTACGATTTCAGAATGCAAGCGTGTCTTACGACCGGGCGCATATTTAGAATTGAACGTCATGGACCTGGATATGGTGAATATGGGTAACCGAACACGAAAAGCTGTTCGTATGCTAAAGGAGCGCATATTTGCTGCGGATCCAAGCACAAGCCTCAAACCCGCAAGCGACAATATCCAGAAATTGCTTGGAAAGCGAGGGTTTGAGAATTTGAATAGATGCATAGTTGGTGTGCCAGTTGCCGGCACTCTTTGGAGCTCATCTAATATATCTAGTTCTAATCAATCTGTCACACCGTTGCATCCGCAAACCAATCAAGGGGGTAGTAAACAAAAGCGGCCTCCATCAGACGACCCCAGTGTTTCTCTTGGCGATCTTCTTTCGAATTCGACCCACTCGGAATCGAATGATGAATCCATTGCAAAAATGGTAGCCAAAGTTGCTCGTTGGTGGTATACCCGCTGCTATGAAGCTGCAATACTACCTGATGGAAATCCGGATTACAGCATCTGGGCAGACAGAAGAGTACTTCGGGAATGCCAAAGACGCGCGACAGGATTTCGGTTGCTCATTGCTTATGCACAGAAACCAAGCGAACCTCGAAGGACGGCAAGTGTTTAAAAAGAAAGAGCAAGGAACCCAACAACACCTAGTGAGGGGAGGTAGATTTACCGAGACTTCCTTGGTGTTCCTTTGGGGTGAAACTACTAAAACCCGTTACTTCTTGTGAGCGGAATACTTTTATTATCAATCATCCTAACGCCAACGGCCTTGACGAGATATCGATATCGAATCCTCTTATCTCTATTCTACTTTTACGATTTCAAATACGATTACGAATTATGAACGTTTGTATCGATCGATTTCCCCGTTTTGGTCTATAACACTAAAAAATGAGACGGGGCAACCAATCCCTAATGCCAGACATGACGAAGATATCCTCAGCGGCCTCGCGGCCCATTTCGTTTTGATGTTCTGTACATTTAACTCCTTCTAACTTTTCTTCCCATTCTTACGGCTGGTCACGTTCTATTTTGGGTGCATTTATTTTGTCTATGTATATGTGAGCGTTTTGCAATCATCGATTTTTTGCATATCCTCGGGTTTCACATAGGTTGGCAAGCGTTGCATTTATTGTATTTTTGTGATACCATTGCTCCTGATGAATATTTGACTTTAGCATTTTTTGTATGATTTTTGGATCTGCTTTTTTTGTGTTCTGCTGGCGAGCTTTCATCTATCACTGATATTGCGTCCGATATTATATTATGCTTATGTCGAGATGAGAAAACCAAAATAAATACTAATATTAATTTTGTAATATTTTACACATCAAAAATCCGTGAACGAAGCAGTTCTTACCCAATTTGGCCAATCCTCCCTACATTGAGTCTTTTGGCTGGTTCATCTACGCGAGATCCATGTTCAGGATCCCCTATGTCGGTATTATTGAGCTATTTCAGGCTGAGAGAGGTAATTTCGTGCTCATGTTAGTTAGTGTGAGCCTCGCGGATCCTTGAGCCACGAGGGTCAGCACCGGATACTGAATGTTTACAGATATCTTGTCTTCTCAAAATGTCCAGAAATGCATCCCATTTCCCGTCAGCATATAATGAGTAATAATAAACCTCAATGAAGCCACCACAAGAGGTTTGGAGTACTTGAAATGCAGTTTCTTTCCTGTCAGTGATACGCAACCATCTTTGTACTAGTAATTGTTGTCAGTTGTAATATTGAAAACGCGGGTAGGAGACTCCGAGAGGTTGAGTCAGGGTGTTGTGAAAAGTGAACCATACACATAACCTGCAATGTTCTTGGGCGTAGATTTTGAGAGTTGGGCGCAGCAGGTCAGGTGATATATACCGCCACGACTATTCTCTTTGTAGTAAAAGGCAAATTCTAATTTCTGAAAGCTGAGTGGTGCTGCTTACCCAAGCAAGCCAAATTTCAACCTCTTCTATCGCAACATCATCTTCTTCATAAGCATCATCACCGACCTAGCGAAGAAAAATAACCGCTACCATCGACATATGTCCAATTTCAGTGGACCGTACTCTACTTTATCCATGATACACTCCAACGCCTGTTGTAGCTGAGTTTAGCCAGCCCTACAGCCACAATCATGTCTGATGGTAAGCAATGACTGGCGCTCAATCCAATCTTTTCACACCAGAGCTAACTCCCTTATGTATAGCCGACTTTGAGACCATAAGGCGTCTTCAAGCTGAGCGGAACGCTTCAGCCTCGAGCAAAAAAGGTTCTAAAACTTTCGACCCATCCTCTCAACGAGCTGACGTTTCGACCAAGGCTTCCCTGACTGAATCCTTCGATACAACGCTTTACGATCGCAATGGAACCGACAAGTATGCGGAATATAACACTTCCATCCCCGTCGACGATGAAGACGAGGATATGGCGGATGAGGGTGTCCGACTGACAGGGCAGTATACGGCGACAAAAGAACAAATGAACGAGTTTGCTGCTGGCAAGGGAGTCGAGGAAGAAGATATCCTCCTTGGGCGTGAGAAATCCGCCAGGATCTCGGAGCGCGAGACTGACTACCAGAAGCGGCGCTTTAACCGTGGCCCTCTTACTCCGACACGTGCCGACCCGTTTGCTTCAAATTCCCAGGCGAATATAGAAGCCGAAGGCCAAACCTATCGTGATGTCATGGCTCTTCGGGAGCTAGAAAAGGAGGAAGAACGAGTAAAAAAATTGATTGCCGAGCAACATAACCAAGGCCAGAAAAATGGATCTATTGAACACGAAGCGACCTTGAAGTTAAACGAGGCTGACAAAGAAAACGCAGAAGCAGGTTCAGCTGTTTCAGTAGCGTCGGGAAGGAAAAGGAAACAAAGATGGGATGTGGCCTCCGAAATGCCACCTGCTCCAGAAGGTGATAAGCAAGCAGAAGCGAAACCGAAAAAATCTAGATGGGACCAAACGCCCGTTCCCAGTGCACCCGAAGAAGCTCCGAAACGCCGATCAAGATGGGATCAAGCACCATCTCTTGTATCTGCCACACCAGTAGGAAATGAGGGCCTGGCGACTCCGATACATCCATCTCAGGCAGCCGCTCCTGTTGCTCCATTGACATTTGGAACTGATATTTCGAGTCGAAATGCACCTTTGTCTGACGAAGAACTGGACCTCATGCTTCCATCAGAAGGCTATAAGATTCTTGAACCTCCCCCTGGGTACGCACCTATTCGGACTCCCGCTCGAAAGCTAATGAGTACGCCAGCACCAATGCCAAGTGCCAGTGGGTTTGGGGGTTTTGTGATGCAAGAGCCTGAGAATGCTCGGATGATGGGGAAGCAGCTGCCGACGGATATTCCTGGCGTTGGAGATCTCCAATTTTTTAAATCAGAGGATATGCAATATTTCGGGAAACTCGTCGATGGAGCAGATGAGAATACCATGTCTGTCGAAGAACTAAAAGAACGAAAAATCATGAGACTGCTTTTGAAAGTCAAAAATGGGACCCCTCCAATGAGGAAGACCGCTCTTCGACAACTTACAGATAATGCCCGTCAATTTGGTGCAGGACCTCTTTTCAACCAGATCCTTCCATTGCTCATGGAGAAATCATTGGAAGATCACGAGCGGCATTTGCTCGTTAAAGTAATCGACCGGGTACTTTACAAACTTGACGACCTTGTTCGACCTTACGTTCACAAAATCCTTGTGTATTGAACCGCTCTTATGATCAGATACTACGCTCGTGTGGAAGGTCGAGAGATTATTTCTACTTAGTAAAAGCTGCCCGGCCTTCGCCCACCATGATCAGTACCATGCGCCTGATATTGACCATGTCGATGAATACGTACGAAACACCACTGCAAGAGCCTTTGCTGTTGTTGCATCGGCCCTTGGTATACCTGCCCTCCTTCCATTTTTAAGGGCTGTTTGTCGCAGTAAAAAATCATGGCAAGCAAGACATACAGGTGTCAAGATTGTTCAGCAAATTCCAATTCTAATGGGATGTGCAGTCTTGCCACATTTGCAAGGCTTGGTGGAATGCATTGGGGACAACCTCAGTGATGAACAAGCCAAGGTTCGCACCGTAACTAGCTTGGCGATTGCTGCTCTTGCCGAAGCTGCGAACCCGTATGGTATCGAAAGTTTTCAAGATATCCTTGGGCCTCTTTGGACAGGAGCAAGAAAACAGCGTGGCAAGGGACTTGCGGGCTTCCTCAAGGCTGTCGGATATATTATTCCTCTTATGGATGAGGAGGGTGCGAACTACTTCACGAGCCAGATAATGGAAATTCTTCTCCGCGAGTTCTCTTCTCCTGATGAAGAGATGAAGAAGGTTGTTTTGAAAGTTGTATCTCAGTGTGCGGGAACGGATGGTGTCACAGCAGCTTATTTAAAGGAACATGTGCTAACAGATTTCTTCAAATGCTTCTGGGTAAGGCGCATGGCGCTCGATAAAAGAAACTACCGACAAGTCGTCGAGACTACAGTTGATTTAGGCCAAAAAGTTGGTGTCAGCGAGATTGTAGAAAAGATTGTCAACAACTTAAAGGATGAAAGCGAGGCATATCGAAAAATGACGGTGGAAACTGTCGAGAAAGTGATTGCCTCCCTCGGTGCAGCAGATATTGGCGAAAGGCTCGAGGAAAGGCTTATTGATGGCGTCCTGTTCGCTTTCCAGGAACAAAGCATCGAAGATATCGTGATCTTGAACGGATTTGGCACTGTTGTCAATGCTCTTGGCACTCGTTGCAAGCCGTATCTTCCCCAGATTGTCAGTACAATTCTCTGGCGTTTGAATAACAAATCCGCAACAGTTCGTCAGCAGGCAGCCGACCTTATATCCCGCATTGCACTGGTCATGAAACAGTGTGGTGAGGACGCCCTCATGGGTAAACTCGGTATCGTCCTTTACGAATATCTGGGTGAAGAGTATCCTGAAGTTCTCGGTTCTATTCTTGGAGCTCTGCGGTCTATTGTTACTGTTGTTGGTATCAATCAAATGCAGCCGCCTATCCGAGACCTATTACCCCGTCTCACCCCGATACTGCGAAATCGACACGAAAAAGTACAAGAGAACACTATTGATTTGGTTGGTCGAATAGCGGATCGAGGCCCTGAATCCGTCAATGCCCGAGAATGGATGCGAATCTGCTTCGAGTTGCTCGACATGCTCAAAGCTCACAAGAAGGGTATTCGCCGTGCAGCTAATAACACATTTGGTTTCATTGCAAAAGCTATTGGCCCGCAAGACGTCCTCGCTACTCTTCTCAACAACCTTCGAGTGCAAGAACGCCAATCCCGCGTCTGTACCGCTGTTGCCATTGGTATCGTCGCCGAAACTTGTGCGCCTTTCACGGTTCTTCCTGCCCTTATGAACGAGTATCGAGTGCCAGAGTTGAATGTCCAGAATGGCGTACTCAAAGCTATGTCCTTCCTTTTTGAATATATCGGCGAAATGGCAAAAGATTACGTTTACGCTGTCACTCCACTGCTTGAAGACGCATTGATAGATCGTGACCAAGTGCATCGACAAACAGCAGCCAGCGTGGTGAAACATATTGCTCTTGGTGTTGTTGGCCTTGGATGCGAAGACGCAATGCTCCATCTCCTCAATCTGCTGTATCCTAACCTCTTTGAAACAAGCCCTCACGTTATTGATCGGATAATCGAAGCTATCGAGGCCATCCGCATGGCCGTCGGCACGGGCATTGTGATGAACTATGTTTGGGCAGGCTTGTTCCATCCCGCAAGGAAAGTGCGGCAGCCATATTGGAGGCTATATAACGACGCCTACGTTCAAGGGGCTGATGCGATGGTACCTTATTATCCCACACTCGAGGACGAGGGTTTGGCGAGGCACGAGTTGGCGATTGTTCTGTGATTGATGATAGTTTTGACTTTAAAATTAATTTCTAACATGTTATTCACCTACTAGTATTTGTTCTTCTGCAGTTTCCTCTCTTTCCCTCGTTATTTTTTTTTTTTTTTTTTGCGATGTGCGTTCGGCGTTCTAATGTTGAAATTCTTGACCTGCCTTTTCCTGTACATTTAACGGTTCCTGTATACTTCTATCGCAAGGATTTGATTGCCATTGATTGTGCTATTTGTATATCTCATTTCGCTGTTAATTTTTCTTAAAAGTGACCCCTGGCATCCATAATTCTTGAAATGTTGAAGATGCCTACTAGGTCTAAAACTGACGTAGATCCATCCAAAAAGCCAGGCAGGTAATATTAGAAGCTCATCGACTGGTGTTCAACGATCTAGGAAAAGCCCTATCTAATCTCTTTCCATGCGGGGATTTTCTACGATCAGAGATTAGAAATATGTATCTCTATCCTGTATAATCTGAAAAGTAATATGCGAAGATATGAATGTATGATGTATGTATACACATGCAAAACACAGAGTAGGAATCCAGGCCAAGACAGTCAGTTCAAAAAAGCCCATCTCAGAAACAATTTAGCATTCATTGATTTCTTGGTAAATCCCCAGGCTATTATTATTGATTATTAGCACTGGTTAACTATCTAGGTAATTTCTGCCTCGGGCAAGTGATAAAATCTTGTGCTCGAAGTAAGCCCTCTTCCGGCCGCGCGATATCTACTGTATGGGACGGAGTTACATGTAAATAAAAGGCAAAGAAGTGCTAGTTAGCTACACAGTTGCTATCCGGTTGACGTTATTTATCACTGCGGCACTCCTCGCAAATTTTGAGCTGGGTTGATGCAGTTTTGTCAAAGGGAGGGGTGACAGACACCTTTGAGAGTTACAGGTAAATAAGTATAACTAATCTAAACATACCTCCTCAACCCGGACTCCACTCCCTTTTGACCATATCGTTGGCTCAAAAACATCGCGCTGAGCCATTGATCCAACTTTACGTCTCCAACCATTCTCACCAACTTCATGTTACATGAGACAGACTGACAGCATATTGGAAAAAAAAAAAAAAAAAAAAGAAAAAAAAAAGGCATGAAGTTAGTTAGCCCCTAAACCCGCAACCACAACCACGGACTCAATAATGAGCGTAAAGTAACCCAACCCCACTAAAAACCAGTGGAGCAAAAAACGAAAAGCTCTCTAATTTTACCAAGGAAATAAAATAAACTCGAGATGGGGTATGCTTTTTTAGCTCCTAGTTACAACGCACTTTGAACTTCCTAACGACGAACGTTGCTCTGCCAGTTATGAACTTTTAGTACGCGACTAAAACCAGTGTAAAACGGTCTCCTGATCGTCCCGTCCGAATTTGGTGGAAGAGTTCATTCCCTGCGCTTCATAGATACTACTGCTGTATAGGACATGGGACGTTGTACGGGAGAGGAATAAGGGTGGAAGATGCACTGTGGGCTTTTTGACGATGGCGACTTGGGGGTTAGCAGCTCTGACATCATAGGGGGGCCAATGCGGGCAAAAAAGAATTACTTTTGGTTCAACTAAATAAATACCCATTTTTATTTTTTTCCTTCTAAAGCGCAAAATTCAATTCAATAACTTAACCCCATCCCACTCCGCAACTACGGAATACTATCGTATGCAACTAAGAATAAGTGAGGGAGCAATCATAGCCAAAGTAAAAACGGTTCTTAGCCCATAGCTTCCATCTACACTCTTGTACATGTACATGTACATCGGACGGAAGCACAGTACGACGGAAGCACAGTACATTTTTCATTTTTCATTCTTTAACCATTTCGTTTTCTGCTGCGTGTTATTCGAGGTTTAGATTCCTTTTTCTTCCTTCCTCACACAGAGGGAGTGATGGGATCATTAAAAAAAAAAAAAAGAAAAAATACAAAGGCTGCGATCGAAGCATGCGGGGAGGCAGACGAGAGAGACATTTGCATGCATTGTCCTCCGGCCTGCCTCCGAGTCGTTCCATCATGTAATGGGAATCTGACGAAGGTACATGTACTCTATATAGATATGATTGATTACGGCAGGATACGCCCTGCTTAACAAGCACGGGACATACGCTGTTTGGATCGTGAAGGAAGTTGAGGATGGTAGAGGAAATTCTTGAACCGTGTCAAGAGGTGCAATCCATCACCGACGAAACGCTGTCTGTGTGTATCGTATTTAATTTTTGATCGGATTTGCAAAAAAACGAAGCAAAAAAAAAAAAAAAAGCAAAAACAATAGATAGTAATTTATTGTTACGAGTTGACGACGTTGGAAAAATATTCAAAATCCCATTCATAGTTCATTGACTCATAGTTGCGGAGGAAGATATGGATGTAGTTAGTATCTCTCTTTTCTTTTGTTCTTTTCTTTTTCTTCCTTCCTTTCTTTCTTTCTTTTTCTTTTCCTTTTTTTTTCGGCGCTGGGCTTTCTGCAAAAGAAAAAAAAAGCAAGGTGGCACTATTGATGGATATAGGTCCTGTTTGATTGGTCAGAGCGAGCATGCTCACGCAAAAAAAGAAAAAAAAAAATCTCTGAAGAAGAGGGAGGGAAGACCAAAAAAAAGACCCCTTCAGCTCACAATCCCAGTCCCACCTTGCTCCCAAGGAAAGTCAGCAAAAAGGAGAAGACAGAGAAAAAAGGGGCCTCCAAAGTGCTATGTATGGTGACTTCTCATCCCTCCCTCCGCCGTGACGAAACCCACAGAGGTTGAGAGCACACGCGGTGGCCGATCATGGGAGGTCAGCGGCGGCGCCGATGATGCATGGGGGGCAGGCGGCCCAGGGGGCGGCGGACTTCGAAGGGCGACAGCGCGTTTCAGAATAATGCAGGCCGGGGCACAAGGGGGAAGGCCGGAGCGATCAGCGAGACCCCTGATTTGGTGTCCTGCTCACACAAGTCACTAGTGCGCTCGTCGGGTGGAGCTCGAGAATGCCACTTCCTCCTTTTCGGGTTTCCTCCAAAGAAAAAAGTGCCGTGGTCGTAGCAGTTTATTTTTCTTCGTCCATCGGATACGACCTCGTCTGATAATTGAGTCCGTGTTCAGCTGCCGCTGGGGCTGCCACTCTGTTTATTATTGTATCAAGCAAAATTTAGTTTCCATTTCATTTCACAATAATCGCACAAAAATTGACTGTCTTCCTCTCTTTTCCTTTTTGTTTTTTCTTTTTCTTTTTGGCAATTGTACGTGCTACTGTACTGGACGATAGCCCAATATCGACGGAGGAAGCTTGCAGGGAATCCGAGGGATAAAGATTTTTAAAAAAAGCCGATCCCCACCCGACACTCTGTGCTGGGCTAACCGAGCTTGTTCAGCGGTCTTAGCTCTGATCTCAGCGAGGGGGGAGCTTCCACTGAATAGCCCTGTGCCCACTGGCCATTGCCCAGGTGGCAGCTGGTGGAGCATGGTCCCCATTTGCCCCAATTTTCGATGGCAGCCAGCGTGGATCTGGTTTACATGCCTCACTAGCCAAGCCTCCAAACCGGGATGTTCGCCGGCTTGGGAGAGGAGGGCAACGTAATCAGCGGGGTGGGCTGGCTGGGCATTTGCTGGCAGCGGGCGTTTTGACCAACCGGTACTGTTGATACTCTCGAGATACAGCAGATCGACAAACAAGAAACGTCCAATGCAACTTCTGGCTCGGATGGTGTACGCAGTACGCAGTGCGCAGTAGTTATGTTTCCGCCGTAGTCATCATTGCATGCCCCATCGGGTTCCATTTGTCATGGAGCTGGGTCTCTGGCCCGGAAAGTTGAAATCAGGAAGGTTGATCGCTTGTCATTCATTATTCAGCCCTATCGAAAGCCCCAGTGTTCGATGCTTGCCGTTTGTTTGTTCTCTCTTCGCTGATCTAGTTAATCCCATATAAAAGAAGTAATTACCATCCAGTTGGCCATTTTATTCAAACAGCCCAGCCTCGTCAGATTGAACACTATCAGGAACGTTTTCCTCCGATCTCTGCAACCCGGCAACGAAGACTGACTTACCTAGAAAGCGGGTCCATAGTTCGAATTAGTAAAAGCACGCGCACGCTCACGCTCACGCTTACGCTTGTTCCTGACTCCTGAGACCTGCCGAAGCAATCTGCGGTTTGATCGTCCGCTGATCCGCGCAGGCTTAAATAGAACGGTTAAACGGTAGTATCATAGTACAAGAATTGATTAGGCAGAAAAACGTGGTTGGGGACAGATTGTCTGTTTCAGATTGCGGCGTTTTGGGCTAAAACACACCTGCCAGCCTTGAGACTGGAGCCCAGTAGCTGTCTTTAGTGAACGAAGCGCCCGGCGGCAGATCGCCTGGCGCTTGGCTGGGGATGATGTGCCGTGCTGTATTGATGGTTGATTCTCTCTTTTTCTTTTCTTTTTCCGCCTTCTTTACTTTTTTGATCGATAACAGATGATGTTATGCATGCACCGAAGGCCGGCCAACTTGATATTTTGATAGATATTTGAAACAGAGCTTGTCCCCATCCCCGTTGTGTGTTTTCCTCCTTAAAAGTTGCCCAGCAGATAAGGTTCGCGGGGGTCTCGCAGCCACTTCTTGGGAATTCAGTGAAGCCCATCTTAAATGAATTGCATTATTACAGCAGCCCAATGACGCCATATTCCGTCTCCCCGGGAATCAAAAGCTGGGGAATTTGGGAGAAGCTTTTTTGTCGAAGTCTGTGTGGGCTTGTGGCATCCAAAGCAGGTGTCAAAACAGAATAGTCGATGTCAGCAGTTTCGCACACGTCTTCGCAAGACTTGTTTGTTCCATAGTGAAAAAGGAATTACCTACTACAATTTAAGTACTTGCAGGAAAATATTTCCACATATCAACAGCATTGTGTAATTTATATACTGCCCATCCTTTCAGCGACGCTGCCACTCTCTATCACCAGATTTCACCGATGCTGATGTTTACTTTCTTTCCCTACCGGGCAAACCTGAAGTGACAAAGAAAAGCCACAAGGTGAGCTTTACCAGGCCAGCTTTAAAAAAAAAAAAAAAAAAAAAAAGCGAAGTTGAGCTAACCGTGACCCCCTATCATGGAACAGTAGCCAGGGACGAAAAGAAATGCTTGGGTCGTTATTATCATCAAGCAAACTATCAATAGTTACGCCCTAGGCAGTTCATCACTCCTCACCAACCCCTGAATAAATCGTGTGGTGGGGACTTTTGTGTTTGCTCCGGCCATGGACCAAGCCACCAAAAGTCAACAGAAACATCAAAAAAGAAACAGACAGGCATTCAATGCTTCCCCTGTAGCTCCTGTGACACCGATGTCTCGGCCAGGGAAAGCAGAACCTTGCAGCGGAAGAACATGAAACTGGTCCCTGTTTTCCTTCCTCCCCCTGCGTGCTGATTCCAACGAACAAGCCAGGGATCTTTGTGTGCTTGGGTTTTAGTTTCGTTAAACTTCAGCGAACCTCAGGATTTGCGCCCTCGGTATGGTAACTTACAATTGCAAAACGGAGGAATGTTGGATTTATTTGCTTCGATCCTGGGTGCACACTGCGCATGCGAGGGGTAAAAATCAACCAAAAGAGAGAGAGAGAGAGAGAGAGAGAGAGTAGAACAGAAAAGTGATAGGAGACATGAAGCTAAAACACTTTTAGGTTCGAGCTATGCATGTAGGAATGCATGGATGTGCAACTGCATGCGCCGCGAATCTTGCTTGAATCCTTACGGGGAAAAAAAAAAAAGGAAAAATGCACGATTGATTTGGAGATCGTGGCGTGAATCCAGCAACCAGTTATGAGAGAGAGTGAGTGAGAGTCTGAAGAGTGAGTGAGAAGGCGGCGATGGGAATGGCCGATTAAACTTTCTTGTGTTCATCCAAAAAAAAAAAAAAAAACAAAACCAGCCCGCGGAGAGAGGGCCGGGTGAAAATGCTGATGGAGAGGTAAGGTAGATGGAGGTTGGATGCGATGGATGCTACCATGCAGCCTGTCTCGCGCTGCATAAAAGAAACCCTAATTGTCGCGTACAGATGACGGACCCGTGAAGAGACGCAATTCTTCTCTCTCCTGAACAAAGAATCGTTAACTGCATGGTACGACCCGCTAGCCATCTATCCACCCAACAACCCTCTATTCAACGTCCAGGGACGGCTATCTCAAGACGTGCAAAAGTGTTCCGAATTCCAGTATCCCACTTATGAAGGAAAAAAACAAAACAAAACAAAACAACAAAACAACAAAACAACAAAAAAACTCGGCGGTGAAGCATACACAGGAGAGATATGGTTACTTTACTCTGTCCCGTGCATCCAATTCATGAACACAGAACAGAAGAGCCTTGAGCGCGCCGCAACAAGTGGTAGCGCCCACCGACCCAGGATTTAACTGAAATGGAAAATAGCACGTTCAGGTCGGAGTACACGAAGCTCGGCGCCTTGGCGGGGGCAAACCGGTAACTTCTCGTTGTCCAGCGTTCAGTGCGCAGTGTTGTAGGAGAAGGGGCCAAACTAAAAGTGGCTGGAGCGCTAAGATGCAAGCGGATTTCCGTGGGCTTACTTATGTTTGGATAGCGACAGAGGATGGGATGGGACGAACTCCAAGGAGTTACTGGAGGGCTTGGGCACATATTATCAGGGTTGGTGCGGTTGATGGTCCCGGCATGCATCGATGGTTCAAGTTTGACGGAAAGTTAATAGCATCAGAGTTCGTTTCTCTCTCTCCTTTTCACTTCTCGATTTTTTTTTCCCTCCTCTTTTGTTGAGCTATCACAAAAATCATTTCAGGGAAAAATGGGCATGGAATTTGGAATGCATCATTATTATTAACAAGCCGCAATCGCTCGTTATTATTAATAATGATAACAACAAAGGTGAAAAAAAAAAGGGAGATTTCCACGAATTTGATCCCCCTCAGGTCAATACTACTTCTGTTTAAACTTCGCCTTGGTGCCGAGCTGGAACCCAGCACCGTGGGAGGGAGAAGAAACGCCAGTGAGGTGGTGGTTGAATCCAAAAGTATGAAACATAAATATCAGTAGTCGACTGAACGAAGAAGGGACGGCATTTCTTTCGAATCTTGAAATAATACACTGTCGATTTTTATAAGTAGGTGTAGTCGGTAATAATCGCGGATTCTTTTCTTTTGCAAAAAGGATTCCCAATCATACATCCATAGTACGATGTACAGAAGTACAGTACAAATCAATCATGTTGGCAAGAGATGGCCTGTTCCAAAAAATAGCTAAGCTTTCTGGGATTACCCCTGCAACCTTCTTTTAAACTTGCCCACATCACCTCCATCGGTACATCGGTACGAAGTACATGCTGCGTACATGGATGGATACCAAAATAAACATGACGTAAAGTACATGTACATGTACAAGTAGTTGACTACAAGAAAACTCCAGACAGCGTTATCCAGTACGCTGGGTTGCAGAGAAAAAAAGAAAGTTCTCAATGAAGAAGTGGGAAATAAGTTTCTTTTCTCTTTTCTGCCTTTTTGATCCTATTGTCCCTACTCCGTACTTATTGAACCACCTGTCTTCTCATAAAAAAGCTCCATACGGAGTTAACTGGCATGCGGGAGGGAGAGAGGTAAGCCCGGAACGGAGCTTACCAATCCTCCCAAACAACAGCAACAGCAACAGCAAAGAATCCTTCTCTGGAACCGGGGGGATGGCTGCTGACTCGTTCTTCGCAGTAACCAGAGAGAGAGAGAGGAAACGATCTCAACGGGGATTTGTGAAGGGTGAAATTCTGCCCCGGCCCCCACCCAGCAGCAGCTTTGAGGCCCTTAGCGGCTGGGCAGCGCTGGGCAGGGAAGAACACTGGACGACCAAGCACAAGAAGCCCTCGTAGCCAACGCCTAGCCATCGCATGCACTAAGCAACAAACCAAGAAGTGCTTGTTTTCCCGCGATTATGCACACACCCCTGCTGAGCTTACGCGGCCTTTTTTTCTTCTCTTATTTTTTTGCATTCTTGTCCAGTCATGTGCTGTGTTGGTTCGTTGCGTTTCTTTTTTTTTGCTCCAATCCTTTTTTGTGACCTTTTTCCACTTTGGGATGCCCGAAAAATGTATGGAATCTGAGGTGGAACTCTCTTGGATTGGGAATGGGCATTTGGAATCGTGTTTTCATCGCTGATGTCCATAATGTCATCGAAATGTTGTAGAAGCTATCGAGAAAAAAAGGAACCGCAATAAGGGGTTCGTGTCAAAAGGTCAGAAACAATTGTTCCTTCTCTTTGCATGTTCTCCTCCAGTGAGATAGGAGGCATACATACACTGTCTGTTTGGTCCGCGCCTGGGCATGTTTATAATTGACATAGCTGTCCTTCGTCCTCTGGACTGAACAAACGATGCGATGTGACGAAGCAAGAACGGGGCCCAAAAAATGGAAAAAGAAAAACGAAAAAAAAAAAAAAGATCTTGTATGGGCCTTTTCTTTGTTCAACTTACCTTCCCACTCTGCATCTCCAGCGGAAGGAGTGAACAATTCCATTTCCTCTGGTTGGTGTTTTCTGCCCACTTATCTTGCCCTCTGCTTCCCCTCCCAGAACGCCTCCCTGGGTTAATTTTATTTTATTTTGTTTTTTAATGTTTTAGGAGCAGATGGCATCTCATCTCATCTCGTGTTTCTTCCCCCTTGGATGCAGGTGGTGGCGGGGCACCTGTTGGGCATAGGTACATCATCGACTTGAGCATTTCGACTATTTTGGGAAGCCCCCTTGGTTTTCTGCCAAGACTGTGTTGTCAGAGTTGCAAAAAAAAAAAAATAAAAAAATAAAATAAAATAAAAAATAAAAAAATTTAAAAAAAAAAAATTTAAAAACATAAAAAATGAAAATAAAAATAAACGTCAACAGAGGAGCTTGAAAAGGGGCAAACTTCGTTCGTGGATGGGCTGCAGAGGGGACCTTGGAGAATCTTAGATCGGGGCGTCAGCCCCCCTAGCACCCGATTGCTGTCAATGGGACGCCATTCCTTCGAACCCTGTCGTTCGTCTGGGGGCAATTGTCGTGAATATTTTAAGCCGCTTAGCAGTTCTCCGATTATCTTTTCTGAAACAAAGTTTCGCCCCTTCGTAGATTATTTTGGCAGGGTTGAATAGTACCGGGGGATCTTACCTGTTTGGGGTGTGGCTTTTGCTGATTAAGGACTCCAGTATGCAGAAAATGGAGACAAGGAATCGAGAGAGTAGCAAGAAAAGAAAAGCTCTCGGTAAATATCAACTTGGTCCTCATCAGAACTTGGTCCACATAAGCCAGAAAGATCAAACAACCAAATCAACCGATAGGAAAGAAAGAATGTTATCTTTGCTCATTCCCTGGCATTAATTGCTAAGTGGGGGACAATGGGGGCAT